GGTTTATATTTCAAAACCTGATTGAACCATAAGAACACTCATGTTCTTTCCAAATAGCAATTCTGGTTCCCCCCACAGGTTTATATTTCAAAACCCGATTRAACCATAAGAACACTCTTGTTCATAAATCATGGCTGTTTAAACTCATTTAGATCCTCAAAACATAACCGTAGATCAGTCTGTTTTAAAAACACCATCTGCCTTCTGGTTACCCAGAAACAGCAGCCAAAAACAGTAACAGCTTAACAGCTGTTTGAAGCCAGTCTAACATCTTCCAAATTAAGATCAAAACAGTTTATACCACAAACACATGAGGAGTTAAGTTTCAAAACCACTCACTTTTCCCAAAACAAATTCTGCAGCAAACAACAGCTTTTAATATGAAATAGGTTCTGTTAAAAACAACTTCTGTTTATAAGGTCTTTGATCAATCAGCTTTTTGCACAAAATTCCACACTCTTCTTTCCCCAGAAATTCTTTGAGATGCAAATGGTAAGGGAGGATTCTTACCACATATCTCTTTAAATAGCCACACACAAGTGGTTTTTAGAAAACAGACAGTGGAAATTTACTTCATATACAAGCAAATACAAATACTTGGTCAAGAAGGCTTCTTAATAGCAGCATCATACAAGCTGCTTACCAAGGTGCTTGTATGCTACTTCCAATTATGTGGACAGAAATCATTCAACAACATCATACAAGCTGCTTACCAAGGTGTTTGTATGCTGCTTCCAATTATGTGGACAGAAATCATTCACACCACATACACATATAATCCATTTTATTTAGCATGCATAATCACATACTTCCAATTAATTCATGCTTATTAACACATAAACACATAATGTACCTTAACCCAATATGTCTGAAAGCCTGGTTATCACATTATTCCCCCCTCAAAAGAATTTCGTCCCGGAATTCACATTTCAAACAACCAAGGATAATGGGTTCTCATCTCTGATTCCAACTCCCATGTTGCTTCAKAACCYTYATGAAACCTCCACTGAATTTTCACCAGCTTGATTTCTTTATTTCTTAGAGTCTTGACCTTACTGTCATTTATGGCTTCTGGTGCCTCTTGGAAGTTCAACTTCTCATCTAACTTGATCTCTGGAAGTGAAATGGCTTGGGTGGCCTCTGTCAAACACTTACGTAAGTTGGAGACATGGAAAGTGTTGTGGATGAGACTAAGCTCTTCTGGTAGCTCTAGCTGGTAGGCTACTGCTCCAATTCTTTTGCAAATTTTGAAAGGCCCAACATATCTTGGACTGAGCTTGCCTTTCTTCCCAAACCTTATTACACCCTTCCAAGGAGATGCTTTCAACATTACCAGATCTCCCACAGAGAATTCAATT